AACTTCGCCAAGATGCATTTTTCCATCACTATCTCTCTGTAAAAAATTTTGATATTCTTTTCTTTGTTGTTTTCCAATAATATATGCATTTTTATAACTGACCAATCTTATGTAATTCAACAATCTCATATAATAACTTTACAATTTAGTCATATATTTCAGTGAACTAATGCGCTTGCAATAGGTACCTTTACGTATAATAATCAAATATGATAGTAAGATGTAATCATATTTATTTATGGATATATGGTTGGACTTGATGAAATGTCACTAAATTGATTTACTTGCCCATAACTTGATGACGATCAACTGATTTGCTTGCCCATACCACTAATTTTTTTCCTATTCTTCGATTGACAACTTACTGTACAAAATACTACACTTATTTATTAAAAGGCTTCATCCAATGTTTCACATACACAGATACTGGTTTCATCAGCTTTCCAAGAAAAAAAAACCTAACCTCCATTCCCAATACACAATATACTACACCCTAGAATGGAAGAACAATACCAACTAATATTAGAAATTGTTTCAAACAATCAAAAGTGAAAAGCTAAGGTTATTGTGGTAGAAAAACAATCACCAAAACCTTCAAAGCAAGGTAATGGAAGGTACCAACATTTGATGTTAATGGATACTCAGGTAACTCTTATTCATTTTAAATTTAGTTATTATCTATTGTCTTCATTTTCAAACCCTGTAGGCTTCTCATTGTATTAATATACAAATTCGTTTTCCAAGGTAATACTATCCAGGCTAGCTTATATGATTCCAACATCACTGCTTTTGAGGATCAACTTCTTTTCGAAAAAACTCATACAATTTCTATGTGAAGAACAATATGGCTAACATACAAATATTCAACAGGATCTCTCAAATGGACAATATCAGTAGAAACTCGTGTTGAAGAAGTAAATGAAGAAAACCTGGAATTTGTTTTTTCAAACTATCATCTAACACATTTTCACGAGGCTTAACAGTACATAGATACAGATACTGATTTGAGTAAGAACCTGTACGTTCATACTTCAAATAAAATTATACACTCATCGAACAAAAATACATATGGAAAGTTTAGAAATATAAAGAATATCCTTTTTACATTTTTTCAAATATACTTGCAGTTGCAATTGATATCAATCCTAAGCATCTGATTCAATCAAAAGATGGCAACCAAATATGGGTACATGATGTCATACTTCTTGACAAGAATTTCAAAACAATGATGCTAACACTTTAGGATTCATTTGTTGATAGATAATGTGTGCTACTTACTAGCAAACAACATTGATAAAAAATCAGTCATCTTTGCAACACATCTCAAAGTGACATCCTTCTTTTGTATGTTGCACTTTGTATTTGGTATATTCTATTTGGTATAGTATGTTCTTCACATTAAGTGACCACTTTGTTTTCCATAATGATATATTATTAGACTTGAAATTGTCCACAAAAGTTCGAAGCACTTTCTTTATCAATACACCTTTCAATGAAGTCAAACAAACGGCAGAATTGTATGTAAAAATTGCTATATTTTATTGTGTTTTTCTATCCACGTATCATTGCTACACTTACTAATGTAGCAACTTATTCTCTAAGGGTGAAAGACAATTCCATGAAAATAGATGATTTGGTATTGAAAAAAACATACATGAAAAAAAACCCGATGACTCTTTCTCAACCTGTACGTAGTAAATTTACTCCAATTCAGAATCTTCAGGGACGCCTCTTAGCAGTATCTATAAGCATCTTCTATTCTCATTCTTTTTCCAGTATACGGAAGATGAACCTAGTTATACCCTTCATTTTTCTTGTAAATAATTTGTGTCAACGGCGAAAGTTTTATTGGGTGAATGGCATAGCAACCACAAACATCAATAACAAATCTTGGTACATAACTTGCAACAATTATCGGAGATCAAATGTTGATTTTGGATAAACATATCTTTGTATTTTTTGCAAAAATCTGAATTCCAAAGCTATTTCTCGGTACTAATCAATCTTCTCATTTTTCCCTTATGTCATTATTTTTTCCTCGTGTCTTCATTTACTAATACTCAAATATTATTCACCTTAGGGCTAGAGCGTATTGCAGCTCTTTGATGCGACAAGTTCGTTTAATACAAGTGCAATTGGTGAACTCGCTAAGAAACTACTATTTACGAATTCACAATCTCTGATGGAACAAACCAATTCTATAAGAACTTCAACCTAACTTAATCATTTTGCCATCTTGTTCATATTTTATTGGACTAATAATACATGATTAACATGATCAACATACAGGGTTCACGGTCAATCTTCAAAGAGGTCATTCAAAAAATACAAAACACTGAAAGAACATTCTACTTAAAAGCAACGCAAATTGAACCCAATTCATAAAGTCATAAATTTGACATCATCTTTGTAACAGATTTAGACCATACAAATCTAGGAGAACAAAGCAAAACAAATGTTGATATTGAAGTTATGGCAGCTACATCAGCTAAGAACATCATTGACACAGACTGCCAAGAAGATTGGTCACTTCCAACGAAGAGAGCTCTATTTAAGTCTTCCTATCATTCGTCCACTTCAAATGTTGATTGTGATGAAAACATGATTTCAAAACTCCTAGGCACAGATCCTGAAAAATAAAAAATGGAGTAAATGATGATTGAAATGTTTTTTGGAAGACTTTTGAGCTGCACCATTTGTCCCGCTGTTTATTTTGTTTGTTATAAGATATGCCCTGTACTTTTGTTGTATATATTGTAGAAGAAATTGATGAAAATATGTTAATATTGAAAAATGATGTATATCGAACATGATAACTACATCATTATCTAACTTATCTTTTGTATATGTATCTTTTTGTTATCAACATTAATGGAATTAGTTTCTATTTTGTTCCCAAAATTTGTTTCTTCTTTTCCCCGTCTATCACTTAAACTGGATTTTATGAATTTCTCAGAGTTAATTTTCAAGTGCAAATATACCTACTCAAATTAAAATTGTTGAAGAGAAACAATTTGCCAAATACAAGTTATAACCATGTCTCCGCGCAGACCATGACCGGAGACGTCGTCTCCGTGAGGAGACGCAAAGACCTCATGCCTGCGCGTGGACATGGAGACACCGTCTGCCTATTGAATGACACATAACTTAATTTTGGTCGTGCTATATGCATTATGGGGTTTGAAGAAAAATGCTTAGCAAGTTAGCATGCTCAAAGAAGGATTCGGGCTAGCCAAATTGTTGGGTTCTCAGGGATTGGCTTTCAGGCTTGACCACTTGATTGACTCCATGTTCAAATCTAGCTTCTACAAGATGCTTTTTCTTTCCCCTTATTACAAAAACTCACTAAATGTCCCGTGTTCACTTTCACAGCTTTATCAAACACCAATTTTTCTACTTTTATTAAAAGTTAACATAAGATAACCCAATGATTGATGCAACTTTGTTGCTGCTACAAGCTTTCTCAGTTAAGCTATAATGCCTTCTTCTTTAATGAAATAACATTACAAGGTTTTTTTTTTTTTTTTTGTTATTTACCTCTTTAAATACGTTCTTGTATTGTTGTTGTGTTGTAATATAACTGGTTAGTACTTGAGGGAATGCTTCTTTTATGAATTGTTAATTGGAAACAATTTTTAAGTTCTAATCAATCTTTCGCTCTTTTGTGCTCGTTAACTAGACCATAATGTAGTATTTTAAGTTACGGCTTCACTTTCAATTCTTTCTTTAGTTTCTTTTGACGGTTTTGACTTTCGACTGTTTGAATTTAAATTCCTGGGTTATATTATAAAGCCTGTATTCTTCTGTATCAAAATAAAATGGAGTGTTTTCTTCCAAAGATAATTAGCTTGCAAAGATAATTCACTTAACGCGGGTTGCTTTTTCTTCACATATTTAAAGCTCCTACAATTTGTGTAGCCTTATTTCTGGTATTTCTGTTTCGTCCCTCCAAAATTCAATCACATGCCATGAATTTAGGTTATATACAAAGTTGTTTTCTTGTGTATTTTGTAAGACTGCACGACACAAGAGAGATTGATATGCCACTATCTACATTTGCATTTTTTAATTTTCCTAAAAATCAGGTTGCACAATTTTATTTTTTTAAATCAAGTTTTCAACATTTATTTTACGTAAAAAGAATGAATATATACAATTCACACAAGAATACTTTTACAAAATCTAAAAATTATACGCTAAGAACAAAAAAATAATTACAAAACTCGTGCAACGCACTTGTCATGAACTAGTATCCTAATAATAAGGGGAACCGTGGCCGTTCTCCAACCTGTAATATCTTTTGCATTTGGTCCCGTTATTTATTTATATTGACAGGTGGAAACTGACCTCCAACTTTTGCAGCAAAATGATCATCAATAGGATGCATTGTTACACGGAAATAATAAGTCGAAACTACGAAAAAATTTAACTTAGAGCTCTATCTATTGCAAAAAAAAAAAATCTTGTTCCAAGTAAATAGTCTATCCAAGTAAGGATAAAAGTTCTTCGTGCAGAAGTGGTCAATCCCAAAGATTAGTTAGGAATAAGAGTACTTTTCCTCATCTTTTTTCAAGGGCTCAATCCAAGTATTCGGATCAATCTTCATGACAAAGTTCAGATGCACACAAATAAATGCTAAAAATTCTTGGTCAAGTCTGCAAACAAACATAAGCCAAGATGCTAAAGGCTTCGGTATCAACTTTTATTCCATTGAAGATACCCACAAAAATAATACAATTCTTTTGAGAAAAGCAGATTGAGTGCTAAAAAACGAAAAAGAAAAAAGACTACTACCAAAAGGCTTTTTCACAGCACAGGAAGAATTAAAGAATAAATTCAACACACTGATCACTTAATCAAAACTGTTATTAATTATCAAGCAATCGAAGTTATGTTCCAAAATAACAACGCCCAACAGTACAAATATCCAAATGAAAACCAACAATATAAAAAAAGTAGAGGTACAACAAGTACCAAGCACAGTGATCATAGTTCCATTTTTAACATTTGACCTCCTTCAAACCATGGCCAAAGTACAAGAATGTTGGATCAGTGGCACCTTCCTTGTAGTATGCAAACACCATGGTGCTGTCATCATGCATGCTCTCTCCCACAAAACTGAACAGGAAGACAAACCTCGATCAGCCAAATAAATCAAAACACATTTCTTAACGGTAGGAATTAAAATGCACGTTCAGAGACCGTTCAGGATGGCTTCTTAAAAGCCTAAAGTAGATTTTGAAACTAAGAAACTGCTTTTGAATCTATTTGGATAATTTTTTTGACAGCGCTTTATCTAATGCTTAAAAGAGCTTGAAGCCAACTCGGGAAGTACTTCTACAAAATGCAAAAACTATCCCCAAACGGGCTCTCACGATCAGAGTATAAAGAACCAAGATTTTGTCATCTACTACTCAATACATTCGAGTGATCTACCAACCTCCTTGCCAAACATGCTAAAAGAATTCTATGTTAAACTTACAATTGGAGGTCACTCAGCTTTGAGAGCAGAAACTTAGTCGCCCCTTCAACACCCTTCTTGAACTCCGCTTGCTTCTCTGCATCGAGCTTGGGTGTCAACAGTTTGATATACTTCTTGATGTATGCAACAAATTGCTTCTTGTCAAAAGGGGGTTGCTCCTGTATTTAATAATCAGGTTAAAGATACCAAACTCTGCACATAGAATTCAGTCATACATTACATATTATGCATAAACTAACCTGGAGCCTGAATGTATCAACAATGTCAACGACCTTGACAGCCGCGTCGTCAACACCCTCGTCCTCATCAGCACCTTCAGCAGAAGGGTTTGCACCAATGTCTACATCAACTGCTCCCTGGACAACCCACTGTGATCCACCACAAAAATTACAGCATAAAAATCTTGCAAAGGAGACATAATAATACGAGTATCCAATACCTCCCAGGATCATCCAAACAAATAAGCAATTAGTAAATAAAGCATATTGAAAAATGGTTAACAAGACAATGAACATAACAGTGAAACAAATAACTAAATCTAATGAAATAAGTAAAGATCATTACCTTTCCCTCAACTTCCCAGAGAATCCCATTTTCAATTTCCTTGTATGGAAATGAGTCTGAGAGAAGTTCATCACCTAAAAATTATAAATAATAATGTCAGCAGTGGGAAAAACATTAACTGGTCATGGAAAAATTTCTAATCTGCAACTATTTCAACAGTGTAAAATTCCTTGATCACCACATTCATGGAACAAAATATACCCAGAGGAAGCTGAAGTTCCAAACTCATCTTAAATACTTATTCATTTTTATAATATAACTCACACAGAACTTATACATCACAATTCCACAACAACAGGAAATATCATCATACAGACTACAGCGTAGAAGATAACACATTCCTTTTACCAATAGCCTTTGGTAGATCTTCTATCTTTGTAGGTAAGGCGTTTGCCCAAAAAAAAAGAACAAGTTTGTTGGATAAATGACCCACTAAATCAGCAACAAGAACTTGATCGATAAGAATAATACCATTCAACAAATCAACAAGAAAAACTTGAATTGTTGCTGCGAAAAAATCATTCACAACTACCACAAAAGATCTAATATTCAAGAGAAAAACACGAATATAAATCAGTCAAAAGAAAACATTACAAACAAGATAAAAATTGATCTTTGTGGCACAAACTCGTGTAGTATAAAACGAAAGCAAATTAGATATTTCTAGCAGTTGGTCCATTAAATAAATCAGAAAAGCAGAACATCTAACTAAAGTTTCAGTCTATATCAACACGCCGTTAATAATCAGCAATTAAAAATACCAGTAATGACAAAAATTAGGTAGCGTATTAAAATATTAATGCCAGCCTTAAAAAACCAAATCTGCACCTCAAAAACCAATTAATAGTTTAATCTGTAAAACAAAAACCTATAGGGCAGTAAAAAATTTAAATCTTCATCACAAAATCCCACAACTAGATCAGCCACAAGAACACAAGATAATAGAAGTGAACAGCTAAAATGGATCTAAAACACAAACTGACACTGAATAACAATCATCCCATCCCCACTTCATAACATAACATGTATCCACAGACAGATCTACAGCACATAAAAGTCATATAAAAATTACGAAAACAGAAACCAAAAAATAATTACATGTGAGCAAATCTTGGTAGACCAACATGATTACAGTGTTTTAGCACTCGGGTCGCTCAAAGGCTTCAAGAGAGCAAGGGTTCAAAAGCAGGCGACAGGGAGAGACGACGAAAATAAATAGGCCGAGGGATTGACGGAAGAAGAAGGTCGAATCGGGAAATTACCTATAATAGACAGAAGTTTTCTCAATTTGACATGTGTATCCTTTCCTTATTATGTGGGCCTTTCACTGTTGGGCCTAAACCGTTCTCTATTGGGCTTTTCTAGTTATTTCCATGAAAAGCCCTATTGGCAGTAAAAGTTAGGCCTACAAAAGCACTCTAATTCACCTAGGGACGTTAAAATACCAAACCCCTTACCTCGTCTAAGAGTGTCAAGGGAGACGAGTCGCTTATCTGTACGACTCATGTACGAGATGACTAGTTAGTTCTCTTGCAAGCAGGCTCGTCGAAATGAACGAAAATACTATTTCAATAAAAAAATCGACTTTGCTCTTCATATGCCTCGCCTACCAAGGAGCAAAGCGAGCCACACTTAGAATGAGCAAGTTGACTTCCTCAATAAGTTGAAATGCATTAGCAGCACGTGAGACAAACATTTCGATTCGTTCCATTTAACATCCCTATCACGTCAATTAGGAAATTAGACGGGAACGTAAAACGATCTCTATAAATTCTATTTTAAAAAAGTTGAAAAGAAAGAAAATGAATGGATGAGGATAATTTAATCCCACACAATTTTCACCCTTCCATGTCATTCTTACCTTTAATATTTGGATAATTCCTTTTGTACATAAATGGATAACAATGGAGGTTGACAACCTCTCACATGAGCGCGAGCCCCGCGTGATTAAAAAATTTCAAAAGAAAAAGTGGGCCACCCTATTGTGAGTGTTGGTCATCCACCATTGTCATGTAGCATTTCTTTTAATATTTTTAGATGCATCTAAGCCCCTGTTTGTCATCCATTTTAATAAAATATTCTACACATGCCCACGGGGCATAACTCAATGGTGCAAATGACATGAGTGGGTTAGTCTCAATTGAGCTGACAGCGTAGTGTGCGGATTTGATTTATGCCTCTTACAAGGTATGTAATTGGACTCTTTGTGAACACCAGTATGGCAGCTCTTGTACCATATCCTACTGAGACACATCTCGCGATTTACCTCCTCCACAATACTTTTAGGGCAGGGCGGTGGGGGCCCTCAAGGTTGGGGTTCAACCCTTTTAATAAAATATTCTACACACAAATCAATAAAATTACTTTACTTTTCAATCACACATTTTTCAAAAAATACTATACAAAACTCTATTTTTTCTCTCAAAATGGGATACAAACAAGCACTAAATAGAATAAATTAAGCCACAATCATTATTTCGGGACAATAAAATTTGAATTGTGATTGTTATGAGACTGTGTAGTTAAAAAGTATGAAAAAAATTTAAATTTACGTACAAAATATTTTATTGTATGAATTTATAATTGAAAATGAGTATATAAAAAGATAGTTGTCAAACATGGGCTAAATAATAATGTAAATTGATTAGATAGAGAGTTAAAACTCAAATTACTTTCTAGACCCCAACACGACATGCTCTAAAAATATCTGACGGTAAGAAAAGTAGAAGAGAGACCAAAATAAGGTGGATACGTCCCATTCTACCGTGGCACATTTTAATTGGTTAACTGTTGAACGCATATATATGTGTTATTTTTCATACCTGTGCAACACCACATTTCTTTTTCTGAATCGCTCACGGGATATCAGATTCTAACCTAGAGGTAAACATTTTTTTGTGATATTTTGTTGGGTTTACAGTTCAATAAAATAATTAGGTTTTATCATCGAACCACCTATAGTTCCTTTTGGTACTGCTTCTGTATTTTAAACACGGTTATTTATTGAACTTATCGACACTCTGATTTGTTATTAGATTTCTTTTTTATAATAGTTAAAGATATTAAATCCAGATCATGATTTCTTGTACTGGAATATGTTGTTGTTGTTGTTGAAATTTATGATCTCGTGGGGTGTTCTCTATTTTCAGATTCTGAATCTCGGGATTGAATTTTGGGAAATTTCGGTTGATTTTTCAATTGGGTAGTGAGTGATAATTTGAAAATCACTATGGATGGTAACAAGGACGAGGCTTTAAAATGCATTAATATTGCTAAGGATGCAATTGTATCGGGCAATAAACAAAGAGCCCTAAAATTTATTGGAATTGCGCATCGTCTTAATCATAATTTACCTGTTGATGATCTTCTGGCCAAGTGTGAAAATCTTGATTCATCACCTTCCCCTGGTCCATCTAATAATGTGAGTAAAGCTAATGGCCTGAAAGATGAAACGAGGCGGGCTGGTAGCAATGAGGTTCAGAATGGGGAGAGGAATTACACGGAAGAGCATGTACAATTGATTAGACAGATTAAAAGTAAGAGGGACTACTATGCAGTTCTAGGTGTGGAGAAGAGTTGTTCGGTTGAGGATATTAGGAAGGCATACCGGAAATTGTCGCTGAAAGTCCACCCGGATAAGAACAAGGCTCCAGGATCTGAGGAAGCTTTTAAGAAAGTTAGCAAAGCATTCAAGTGCTTGAGTGACGATGATTCCAGGAGGCAATATGATCACACTGGTTTAGTCGACGAATTTGAGCATAATCAGCAGTATAATGTTAGGCGAAGGAGGAGGAGAACTGGGAATGACTTATTCGATGATGAATTTGATCCTGACGAGATATTCAGGGCATTCTTTGGTCAGAATGACGTGTTCAGGAATTCTCACGTTTATAGGACTAGAACTGCCAATACTGGTACTCCTCAGAGGGAAGATTTGGGTAGTAATGGACCTAATCTGATGTTGCTTCTTCAGTTCCTGCCATTTTTGATAATCATCTTGCTTGCTTATCTTCCTTTCTCAGAGCCTGAGTATTCTTTGCAGAAGAATTATTCCTACCAGTTTAAGAAGACAATAGAGAAACATGGGGTGGAGTTTTTTGTGAAATCACCAGAATTTGATAAAAATTATCCACATGGAAGCCCTGGTCGAGATGACATTGAAAATAATGTTATCAAGGACTACAAGCATACGCTCAGACGCTATTGTCACATGGAAATGCAGAGGCGTCAGTGGAATAGAAATTTTCCAACTCCTCACTGTGACAAGCTAGAAAGTTTCGCTGTGTGAAGGTAAGCTCAAGTTTTGACATAAATACATGAGATGTTTGTCAATCTACTTTTATGTTAGTATACTGTTCTAATGATATCGTATATGATATGATTTATTTCCTCTTTTTTCTTTCTTGTATTGTCTTTCTTTTTCCTTCTTAGTGATATTCAAACATCATCTTAAAGTGGAAGCAAGGACAAATAGTTATTACCAACTTTGGCTTAGTGATGTTGAAATGCATAGGATAACATATTCCTTCTGAAGACTACAGAATGGTGACTACAAGTTTTATGTTCAAAATGGGCCCATAAGGAAATGTTTTTACTACCTGATCTGGTGTAATGTCATGGGTAATTGAGAGAAATTGGACGTTCTCATAAATTATGGTATTGGGAAGAGATAGGTTCTGTAAATTGTTGATTTAGTCCCTGAAAGACCTCGGATCAGTGCTTACTGTGCCTATATTAATTGCAGTTTTAGTTGTTTAATCCTATGTCTCTCTTAGTCCCTATTTTGGTTTAGATAAAAATCAGATTTTTAGTAGATTTCGATAAAAATTGATGAAATGTTTGGTTGAAAAGTTGATAAAAGTTGTGGGTCTCATGAAATTTGTGGTTGAAAATGAGTTTGAGGAAACGGGGGCCAAACGGGGGCTTACTTTTATTTGGAAAGTGTTTATTCTCTTTGCCGTCTTATTCAGAGCAATGATATTACTTCTTTTTCATTTATCATCCCTCCTCTCTCCCGGTGATTTCACGTGCATGTTGCTTACCATTGTCTTATAGAATCTTTATGTAGTGATGTTGTTGTTGTAGACTTCCATGCATTGTACTTCCAACTTATGTAGAGACGAGGCACCACGAACCATCTACTACACTGCTATATGTTTGGTGAATTATATCTTCAGAAAATCATTTTAGCTAAAAACATTTGATCTTCAGTGGACTCTTGATTTGAAAATGTGGTTTTACTTTTTCTTGGTTGAGCAGATTTTCTAATTGGATTGTGGAGTTCCCTGGTGGGATTTGCACAAATTATCATATTTGAAGAAGCAATTGGTTGTTTTGAGGATTTTTAGCATACAGGAAATTCCTCGACAGTGAGTTTGATGTATAATGTATGTCATATATACATATTCGTCTTATCATTTTAAGCCAGAAGCATTATTATTTTATGACCAACTGAAAGATTTCTTCAGTCTACGATTATGTGAACTTGCTTCGTAAAATGGTTGCACGTGATCTTGGACAAAATTTTGGTCCCCGTGCATGGCTCGGGTTAACTCGAGGAAGATGACCCATCATTGAAATAAGATGAAAGCTTGTTTGGGAAAGATTTTTCTAAAATATTCTTTTTTCAAAATTATTTTTAGCCCCCATTTGGTGCACATTTTGAAGGTAAGAATGTATTTTTACTGTTGATGTGATGGGGAATATGTGGTTGAAAAAAAGGAAAAGTTATTGATGTGATGGAAAATATTATTTTATTGAAGAATGTGTAGTTGAAAATGAGTAGAAGAATGAGAATGAAAAAAATAATGTAGATCAAACAGAGCCTTAATCATAAANTGAAAAAAATAATGTAGATCAAACAGAGCCTTAATCATAAACATAGTCCATGTTTGGTGGGGATTAAAATTACATTTTTAATAAATTTTAAGAAAATTTAATGACATGTGTGATTGAAAAGTTGTAGATCATATGAAATGTGTAGGGGTGGGCAAAAAATCGATTAAACCGACCGAACCAAATCGAGTCGGGTCGGTTTAAACCAAAAAATCAATTTGGTTCGGTTAATTTTAACCATTATAAAGTCGGGTCGGGTAGGGTTGGTTGCGGTTTAAGCAACCAACCCGTTAATTAACCGACCACAACCAACCCGTTAATTAACTGATCCAACCCACAAATACATTTTTTTTTATTTTTTTTCATTTTAAAATTCATCTTCTTATAAATTTTCCAACTCCTCACTGTGACGAGCTAGAAAGTTACGCTGTGTGAAGGTAAGCTCAAGTTTTGACATAAATACATGAGATGTTTGTCAATCTACTTTTCTGTTAGTATACTGTTCTAATGATATCTTATATGATATGATTTATTTCCTCTTTTTTCTTTCTTGTATTGTCTTTCTTTTTCTTCTTAGTGATATTCAAACATCATCTTAAAGTGGAAGCAAGGACAAATTGTTATTACCAACTTTGGCTTAGTGATGTTGAAATGCATAGGATAACAGATTCCTTCTGAAGACTACAGAATGGTGACTACAAGTTTTATGTTCAAAATGGGCCCATAAGGAAATGTTTTTACTACCTAATCTGGTGTAGTGTCATGGGTAATTGAGAGAATTGGACGTTCTCATAAATTATGGTATTGGGAAGAGATAGGTTCTGTAAATTGTTGATTTAGTCCCTGAAAGACCTCGGATCAGTGCTTACTGTGCGTACATTAATTGCAGTTTTAGTTGTTTAATCCTATGTCTCTCTTAGTCCCTATTTTGGTTTAGATAAAAATCAGATTTTTAGTAGATTTCGATAGGGTTGGGCAAAATGTCCAAACCGAACCGGAACCAAACCGAACCGAACCGAGCAGGTTTTTTAAAATGAAATACCCGAACGGGTATCCGAATCGAGAACCGAATGGTTTGGTTCGGTTCTCGGTTCTCGACCAAGAACCGAAGAACCGAATAAGAACCGAACTTTTTTTTTTTATATTGGATAAATTAATTTCTTTTATTTTTTCTAAACAAATTAATAATTTTTTTCTTATTAAATCTTATTAGTTGAACAATTTAGAGTTTATTTATATTTGTTAGTTGTGTTTTTTTCAATTTTTTCTTATATAGTTTCTTAATAGTTAGTATGGAAAGTCAACCAACTAATAATTACATTAAATAGTTGGTAAGTATTATCAATACTTTAAAATATTTTATATTTGTGACTTCTAATTTATATTTCACTTTTATGTAGATTTGAAGGTTTGAAGCAAATGAATTATTGATATGAATATCGAAGTTTTATTAGTAATATTTACTTTTTGGTATTTGTATTTGACAACTTATTATTTATATGTTATTAAATTAGATTACGTTAATTTGTAAAAGTTAAGATTGAACTTGGTATTTGTATCTACTTTTTGTTATTAGTATTGGTATCCACTTTCAGGTGTATTTATGTAGTATTATTTTAAATGTTAAAAAATTTAATTATAGTACGGAACCGAACAGAACCGAACCGAACCGAAACCGAACGGTTCCATTTACTAAATACCCGAAAATTTCTGGAACCGAAAAAAACCGAACCGAACCGACCCGCGCCCACCCCTAGATTTCGATAAAAGTTGATGAAATGTTTGGTTGAAAAGTTGATGAAAGTTGTGGGTCTCATAAAATTTGTGGTTGAAAATGAGTTTGAGGAAACGGGGGCTTACTTTTATTTGGAAATTGTTTATTCTCTTTGCGGTCTTATTCAGAGCGATGATATTACTTCTTTTTCATTTATCATCCCTCCTCTCTCCCGGTGATTTCACGTGCATGTTGCTTACCATTGTCTTATAGAATCTTTGTCTAGTGATGTTGTTGTTGTAGACTTCCATGCATTGTACTTCCAACTTATGTAGAGACGAGGCACCATGAACCATCTACTACACTGCTATATGTTTGGTGAATTATATCTTCAGAAAATCATTTTAGCTAAAAACATTTGATCTTCAGTGGAATCTTGATTTGAAAATGTGGTTTTGCTTTTTCTTGGTTGAGCAGATTTTCTAATTGGATTGTGGAGTTCCCTGGTGGGATTTGCACAAATTATCATATTTGAAGAAGCAATTGGTTGTTCTGAGGATTTTTAGCATACAGGAAATTCCTCGACAGTGAGTTTGATGTATAATGTATGTCATATATACATATTCGTCTTTTCATTTTAAGCCAGAAGCATTATTAGTTTATGACCAACTGAAAGATTTCTTCAGTCTACGATTATGTGAACTTGCTTCGTAAAATGGTTGCACGTGATCTTGGACAAAATTTTGGTCCCCATGCATGGCTCGGGTTAACTCGAGGAAGATGACCCATCATTGAAATAAGATGAAAGCTTGTTTGGGAAAGATTTTTCTAAAATATTCTTTTTTCAAAATTATTTTTAATCATAAACATAGTCCCTGTTTGGTGGGGATTAAATTTACATTTTTAGTAAATTTTAATAAAAGTTAATGACTTGTGAGATTGGAAAGTTGTAGATCATATAAAATGTGTAGGGGTTGGCAAAAAAATCGATTAAACCGATCGAACCAAATAGAGTCTGGTCGGTTTGAACCAAAAAACCAACTTGGTTCGGTTAATTTTAACCATTATAAAGTCGGGTTGGGTAGGTTGTGGTTTAAGCAACCAACCCGTTAATTAATCGATCCAACCCACAAATACATTTTTTTTTTATTTTTTTCATTTTAAAATTCAACTTCTTAAACTTTAAAAAAATAAAAATAAAAACACAAATATAATTCTTTCTTAAATAATTTATTTATCGTCTATGTTTTTTTTTACCAAAACTTCAAATTTCGAAAGAGAAGAAAGCAAGAAAAAATGTTTATTATAAATTGCAAATTTAGATTGTATCATTACTTTTCATTTTTAGTATAATTGTTTGATGGTAACTATCGGATATATACGATAATTATGGAAAAATCAATCCATATATATATATATATATATATAGAATGACAAAATTTTTAACGTAATCTTTTTTAACTCGCACCAATGTCCAAACCGATTAACAAAATCGACTCAAACTGATTTGGTTTGGTTTGGTTTGGTTCGGTTTCAATGATTGGATTTGGTCGGTTTGAATTGGAATTTATCCAAACCGACTAAGTCAGTTTCGGTTATGGGTTGGATTTAAAAAAAACCAACTCGAACCATGCCCAGACCTAAAAATGTGGTTAAAAGTAAACTTTAATTTTCACCAAATAAGAACATATTATGAGAATCATAACTTTTATGCAACTTTAAATATAAATTTTTTAAGAAAAATTTTTCCTCGTATTTTAATTGTACCTTTGTTTTTGGATGGGTAAATTTAATCTAAGCGAGCTACACGAATTGGACCGCGTTGACCCTGTTCGAGGCCTATGTCAGCATTACTCAATTAACTGTGTTACTTATATAACATTGGTTGACAACTTCACATTTGACTGCATAACATTCATTCTTTTTAAAAATTATTTTTTAAATCAACGGGCTGTATTTTGATAGCATTGAGGTTGTCAACAATGTATGTCAACAAATGTTGTACAAATAACTTAATTATTTTTCAATTTCATCTACCATCATCGTACTTATAGTGAAATTTCAATTGGATTACTAAGGATTAATGTGATTGTATGTTCAAGTGTACATCTTGTATAACATTCCATTAAGTGTAAAAATCGAGGTCATTAATTTAAATGAAGTGTTGGAGAAATTAATGACAAAATTGATTGTCACGTCATGAAATGTTCTCTAGGACATCGATCAAGATGTAAGTGTAGCAAAACTAAGATCACTAATATGTCTCATTTGAGTTGATGACTTCAATTTAATTGAAATTGGATCATTTTAATTTGTAATTTCATCATTCCGGTACATTTCCTTTCCCAAATTGACTCCCTACTCCAAATCAATGAAAGTTACTTTATTGACAACTACACTAATGAATTTTTCACTATTCGTTGCGTGACATAATAAATCATTATGTTACTTTGTCAAATATTAAATTAAAACAACACACTTTGAAAACGTTGTTATGGCCTTTGTTTTATCATTTTTGTTTATAGGATGTCATATAGTGGTTACTTTGAAAGCACTACATATGTTACATGTGCATTTTATTTTACATCATTTTCAACATTGTGCCACTTGATTGTACAATTTTTAAAAAAACGCAAATTTTCAACCAACACTTTTTGAATAATCACACAATGTCAAAAAAAAAGTACATTTAGCTTAAATCTATTATCAATTAAACAATTTCTCTCAGATGATTGTAAAATTTAAAATTCAATTAAAGTTTAGGGACCCAGTTAAAAATTCAGTGACCCTGGGTGAAATTTACACTTATCTATTTTTTTATGCTATTGATTTGAATCTACTTTTAGTGAAAATGGAGACAGTCCGGAATTCTAGGGTTTGCTGCTCCCTGCTTTACTTTAAAGTTTAAGTCCCTGTTTGCTATCGCTAAATTTTTTTATTGAAATATAAGTTAATAATTAATTTTAACAATATATTTAATAAGATTCAAAACTTTTTGACGACACATTTCATTAATTTTTATCAAAATTTATTATAAATCTGATTTTATTCAGAATATAAGTTGGAAGGATAAAAAAAACAGTAAAACTTGTCCATTTACCAGCACTTCTTTGACCACACAGCACAATGTTTTAAAACCAAAGTAAGTTTAAAAAATAAAGGACAGTAGATTCAAATGAAACAACTGATGAAATCAATCTTGAATTTTTGCAGCCGACGACATTGAACCAGCCAAGGAGAAAGACAGGAAATGACAGAATACCCTCAAAATATCCTACCAACAGATTGTCAACAAAAGGGTAATTATGTCAAAAAGTAGTCTACTCCATGTTCATTCACGATCTCACTTTACGTGGTACAACAGTACTATCTCTATATACGTAAGATCCAAGAAAATGAAGGAATTCCATCAAAGATACATAAGTTACAATCAATCATAAGCAAGAACAGATTATTACCCAAGAAAACGGCTTCTAAGCAAGATCAGAATACCGTGAAACAATACAAAATTCACATCCACTTATACGTATATTTTACGTATAAGATAACTAGTCCCCTGAATCATCGTCACCTCCAAAGATGGATACACGGTTGTAAAGGAGGAACAAAACAAGTACAAGAACGAGTGCTACTCCGACCGGTGAGCCACTGACTCTGTGGATGGTATTGGGTTCTCCGGTGGAGAAGATGCTCGAGACGAATGAGCCGCTGTCGGAAGAGAGGAATTGGATGGTGAGGAGGAGGATTATGGGAAGGAGGAGGAGCCCAACTGGGCTGAGCAACTCGGCGATGAACTCAGTAAGGGCTTCACCTTGGTCACCGAGTAATGTCGGCACCACTACGACTAACACAACCACCACCGCCATCTACCGCCGTACTCCTCCAGGCCGACGGCGGTCTTCTATCATTTTGTGAGGGTTGTGAATTGTGTGTGTGATTTTCTTGATCTTGTTTTTGTGGGGACTTGAAACTTTGCTTTTGGTTTTGGGTTTTCACTTGTGTTTTTTTTGTTGGTTTTGGTCTGTCTTTTGGTAGGGTAAACGAGTAGACTATAGATGCTCTTGGACGCGCTTGTTTGAAAAAAAACATAAGAATTAACTTTTCAACCAAGGGGAGGAGTGGGTGGCATGGGGAGAGGTGTAGGGGTGGGAAGGAGGAGAGAAAAGGGAAAACCCGCTCGTACAATTATTAGAGGGTGTAAATTTCCTCCCCTCACACATTGTTCGAAAAGAAAATACTTGCACTGTGTACTACATTTGGTTGACGAGAAACAGGTTGGTTTTTGAAAATCTACCCCGTAATGTGGATAGCATTGTTAGACGAATCAAGACAAATGTATACAAAGTTATGTTTAATTTGTATCCAAATGTCTTCGTTTGTTATGAATCTCTTGTTATGAGTTGATTCCTTTTGTATTGTTCTTTTGGGTTGGGCCATTGTGCTTGTATTTCCTATCTCTTTTGAGATGTTGCTACATTGTTGATTTACCAGGGTATGCCCGGTGATGGTGTACATTGTTTTGATGGTTTCTATTCTAATTAATTATTTACCGATAAAAAAAAAAAAAAAATACTTGCACCGTGATTTCCTATTTTATGCCATTCTAGTAGGTAGAGTTGACGATGGCCTTGAGTTGTTTGTTGATGAGATAGGCAACTCAATTCATTTTCTCACGAGCTTTTGAATCGAGTCGGGCTCTAAATTTTGCTCTGGTAAGTTGAATTATTTTTTAAAAGAAATTGGAAAAAACTTGGTTCGATTTAGCCCATTGTTTTTTTTGTAGAGGAGGGTGATTTTTTCTTGCCATAATTACAACTAGGGTCTTGCAAGGTAATTACTCTTTGGGAAGGGCAAAAGGGGTATTTAAATTTTGTTGCCATGTGATGTGGGACCCTGTAGAGTAGAATTTGAAATTAAATTAAAGTTTGATGACCTAATTTAAAATCAAATTAAAGTTTAATGACCATTTTATTGAAAGTTCAATCACCATGGTTGAATTTAGAATCCTAAAATGCCCCATGTCATTGAAAATATTTTCAAATATAACATATTTCTCCTCGAATTTTAACAAGTTCGAGGATAATTTTAACAATAGGGAATCAATCCACGATTAATGTTATCAATTAAAAAAAGAAGAAGAAGATTTCTGTATTCATATTTCTCGATCCATATTATGAATGCTAATCAAATTCAAGAATCAATCCTTGAAGAAAAATTTAAAAGAAATGCAATGTCTTGTCCTTGTCTGAAAAGCTGGTATTGTAGGACAATTATTGTACGGCATTCCAATTGGGAGTTAAATCCTGAATACTATGGGACTAAAATCCCAGGGTGTACCTTCCTTCTATTAAATGCATGCATTGTATTTCATCTTCAATTAGTATGAAATAAAAACGTTTTTAAGTGCAATTGGTAAGAAGATTTTCAGGAGTGTATGTTTCTAACGCGACCATAGTTCTCTCCACGTCTACGCAATTTACAAAATTAACTGTGCGACTATTTTCGAGAGAAAAGTCTTGATAAGCTTGTAACAAATAAAGATAAAAACTCATAAATCAATTGCTAC